AGCTGAGCTGAGCAGACTTGCTGACCATCCCCCAGAGCTGCCTGGGCTCCTAAATGGACCTAGGCTCTGACACAGAGGGCCTGGAGCTTCCTGTTCTCCACCCATGTTCAGCATCCAAGCCCGCTCTTTCCCAATATGAACATAGTACTCCAAAAGACTCAACATGTGACAGGACAGATCTCAGGGAGGGTAAGTGGCATTAGGTTAGGGGAGAGGTCAAACAATAGGTGATTGGTGGGTGAGGAGCTGGAGTGTTCTGTAACTGAATGGCTCACTGCCCCACCTGCAGTGCTTAAACCATGGCCCCTGGCCTCTTTCTTTCAGTCTCTCCCCCACAAGATTTGCAGTTTGGGACTGTACTGAAACAGCAGGGCTGTGTTTGAGGAGTGTCCTGTCCTGTCCCTCTCTACCCCACCCCACCATGCAAGTGGGTATGCTAGTAGGTACTAAACTCAAATGGGCAATTCATGGAATCTGAATTGTTCTTTGGAGGGGTGTGCTTTCATGGTCACCAAGCTGTCATTGTGTTGTGTGTCCCACTTCAGTTATGCAGTGATTGGCACTTTTAAAGTTAATTGCCCACATAACACCGCATTCATCCTCCTACCAAAACAACAATAGCCCTAATACTCAGCAATAGGGACCTTATGCCCAGAGCTTGAGATAAGGCACTAGTCCTGGGCCCAGATATTAGGGTAATGAAGATATTAGGGTAATGAATAAACAAGGGATCATGCCCTTTGATTTTTTTGCTTTGGCTCCCACCCTGAGAAAATAGCAGTGATAGCCTTCACTCTCATGTAAACAACTCACTGGGGATAGATAGAGTCACTTTATTACAAGCAATATGCAGCCAGCCAATGTGTTTGTCAGAAGCAAACCAAGGATCATCTCCTGAGATGCCCTGTAGCACCACAATAATACACCACACAAGATGTGGCAACACCAACATCAGAAGCAGTGACCTGTGCAGAATATTGGGAACAAACCATATGAAAAGGCTGGATTGGAGACATGATGAAGAAGAAGATTACAAGCAATTCATTGCAAGCCAGCCAGCAAGGAAAGGAGAAAACAAGTAGCTTTTAAATCATCATCTTGGTCAGTCAGTGCACACAACCATGGCAATTTAGGTTCCCCTGTGAGTGGCCACCACAGCATTAGTTGTATTGTTCCAGACTCTTCTACAGACTGATGCAAGCCCCAAAAGTCCATATGACCTTTCCCTGGTCCCCCATCCTAGTGAACTCAGTGCGTGCAGTCCAGAGCCATTTCACTATGGGAGAGAACAGGTCACAGGGTGGACCAGGACCTCTAAGTCCATGTGGGGTGGATGGTGGGAGGGGGTGGGGGGAAGCGAAGATGAGGAGGGAAGGGACCCTCCACCCTAAAAAGGTTTTTGCCTCCCCCACCAACTACATTCCTTCAGCACACCAGATACAGCTCTTCGGACTGTGGACTCTTCATAGCTGCTGGCTGCCAATTAACTCAGGACAGGTGGGGGTAGGGGAAGGGAATGCTTGCTTCCTTTGCACTCTGAGTGGTGCGGTGGTTGCTTGTCTGCAGTCTTTGTGAATTACTGGCTGATGTTTAAACTAGAGACAGATTGATCATGCCCCTTCTAGCATCCCGCTCAGCCTGCACAAGGTGGTTGTAGATGGTAGTGAGGTATACCATTAGACATTCCCTGACAATCCAGAGAAGAGCCAGACTCACCAGTGACCTATCACAGCATGCCTGCTGTTTTCACAAGTCTGAGCAATCAGGGATCATCATTTCTTGCAGTAAGAAGCAAAAAAAGACTGCTGGACTGCCTCTCACTATGCAGCAATGAACAGGTGTTGCCTCCACAGTGGGGTCAGATGGATCAGGGTAACATCAACCAGGTTGCCACCATTGTGTGGTTATAGACAAGGGGCATTAGGGGGTCCCAAGACAACAGATCATGCTCAGAAGACTGCACCCACCCCCCTCAACTGGCCCACTATGTTTCATGGTTCCCACGGCTGTACCCACTTGGCCCTTACTGTACCTCATGGCTGTTTGCCCCATGGCTGCGCAACCATGTCCCCTACTGCCCTGGGTACCTAGTGTGGTAAAAATATGTTATAATCTAGTCATTATGATTTTGCAATAACGTTTGTGTAGCAGCTGTGTGGTAAAAAAATGTCTCATCTCCCTACACAAAGGCTTCACAGCTGAGAACTGTTTAGTTTCACTACATAATTGCTTCTGCATATTATCACACTTGCTTCTGCTAAGGTATGTAGGCCAATGATAGATTTACGAGTAGCACTAGACTTCTGCAGACATAGCCGGGAACAGATGCAACAAATAACTCCTTACGAGAGATAAGAGAAGAGGCACAGGGAAAGGTGCTGATGTAAAGAACTCAGACCTTGACCAAAGAATGACCGAAATGGACTTAAGGACGGCCCCAGGGAGGAGATTTAAGATGTAAATGAGACATGTATGTAAACCATCATAGAACATGTACCTGCTAGACATATGTTGTAAGACGTAATACTTGGGCTACCAATAATTACGCGACACGTTAGAATCTTTTGTTTATGTTAGCTATAAAAAGGAACCCCAGACTCTGTTTGGGGTCGACACGGATTTGAGTAAATTAAGCTCCCTTGTCGAACTTGTTTGCAAACAATAAATCTGAAATTGGACCCAGCCTGTGTGTAAGACTCTCTCCTAGAGGTGGATTGGACAAGCCCCCAGGGGCACGAAACTAGCCGTTTGTGCAACACTAGGAAGCACAAGGAAGAGTGAACTTGGCATGTTGAGTCAGCAGGGTGAGTGAGCCTGTCCCCTGGCTGGCTGGCCTTGCAAGCTGAAACTTTTGTTGGGGAGTTCTTCATGCTATCAAGGCAAGTGATAAAAACAATGAATACCTTTCATTCTAACACCTGCAAATGGCAGTGATGGCACCTCAGTAGCTGATGATGGCCCAAGGCAACAGTCAGAAACTGGGGCCCAGAAAGCTTCCAGGCAAAGGAAGACCTGCACCTGCACAAAGGCGGACATACTAGCTTCTCTGGAGGAGGCCAGATGCTCCTGGGTTGCAGAGGCCAGGTAGAGGGAGGAAGAGAAACTGTACCACCACCAATGCTTGTCCATGGTCAGGCATGGGATTGAGGAGTCCCAGTGTGGTGCACTGCTATTTGGCTGGCCAGGTAATATGCAGATGCTGAGGCTATTGCAGCACAAATAAGATAGGAAATCTGTGAAGGTGGAGAAAGAGTCTGCAGATTGCCTCGTGTCTACCTTGAACCTGAAGACAGAGGTCGTGCTTGGTGTTCCTTCCATTGCCCTGCAGTTTAACCCACCAGCAGGACTGTCCAGTGGCTCCTGGGGTACATGCTGCCATTGGACTTCACTGTCCCACAATAGTCCCCTGTGGCAGAATCGGGAGTAAGCACCCCCTGGCCCTCAGTCAGGCATATCCCACAGCTTGAACAGTCCTCCAGTGGTAGCCACTGCCACCTGGAGTACTACATGTGTGCACTGCAACTGCACCAGGCCCACAGTATGCTGGCATTCACAGGGAGTAATGGGTGTCATTAAACACTTCTGGGGTTTTTTTCCATGGCATTTCTTTACTTTGTTCCATTTGTTTACTTGTCTGGTTGACCTCCCGTTTTCACATTTCTGTTGTTCTGCATAATAAAAATACTGCCTGTTGTCAAAATTATGCCTATGGTGTATAAAAAAATAGGGTAGGAAAGACCTGTGCACAGCCAGCCAAAGCTGTTCTTCCTTCCCTGTTTATCTCTTTCCCACCTCCCTTCATCTGGGTCTGTGTAGAGCCCACAGGCTCACACAGCCCAAGCTTTCATCACCTCGCTTCCCTCAACCCCCTTGTTGGTGATGAATTTTTGGTCATGGTATGCAGGAGAAAGGATGGTAATTAATGTACCATAGACAGCCCCAGTGCAGTTGGGGAACCCCTGGCAAATTTGTGTATGACCTCCTGTGGGTTGGCAAAACATATGATGCATGGGGCTGTCACCCATTGGATTGCCAGACACACTTCTCACACTGCATCTCAACTTGCCCACACCAAAAGGGTTTGCCATGGCCCAGAGGCCATCTGGGTTCCTGAGCTTCCATATAGCAATGGCATCATGTTTCTCCACAGGTAAGGGAGGCTGCTTTGCTGTTGTCCAGTGCTGTATGTATGGGACAAGCTAAGCGCAGAGCTCCATGGAAGTGCTCCCAGACATGTGGAAGTTTATGTGCCTCTGCTTATTGTCCAAGGTGACCATGATGACCTACTCCCACCATTTGTCATCTCCTTGGTCCAGAAAAGCCACTTTATGGTTTGGAGCTGTTCCCACATCTGCCCAACTACAGTGTGCTGACCTTCATCCAAAACATCTTCAGGATGGCAGCTGCTGCCATGAATTAGGAGTCAGACATAGCCATGGACCATCCATTGTTTGGCAGTGAGCACACACATGAGGTTCCCCCCTGCAAGTACAGCTCCCTCAGTCTTTGTGGTGAATGGAAGTAGTCATGGGAGCCATCAGGGTCCAGTGATGTTCCCTTTCCTGCTCAGTATTGCTCATGAGTTCACAATGCTTGACCAGCAAGGTCCGCAAGGCAACAACCACATACAAATCCATAGGGGCCAGCGATGGTGGAAGCTCCTGGGTCATGGTCAGTAGTGGCAGCACAAATGCAGTAGAAATACAGGTGGAAGGTCATGGACATGAGTTGCACAGTGAATCACACCAAAACTGCTCCCAAAAATTTTTTGCCATGCACAACTTGAACAACTAAGGGGCCTTCCACTCAGTACTAGCATTGTCAGGGGAATCCATGACACTTTCTGGCACCAGGCATAATGCCATATGTGCTCTCTCTGGCCACCTGCTGGCAGAAGAGCAGCAGTGCATTTAGCCACCCAGCCCTCTCAGCACAACCTGTGGACATGCCAATTCGATGACCTCCCTTCTGGGACAAGTTGCTGCACAACCAGTCCTACGAGAAATACAACATCTGTTTATAGCCTAGGAGTCTAAGATCAGTATGCAAGCGCAGAAACAAAGCACAGGTTGTTCAATATAAATATTTTCTTTTTCATAAGAGCATCAAAACCAGAAAGGAAAAAAGCTAAAACAACTAGTTTATAAACCTATTACCTGAACTAAATTTGGCCATTCCTTGCAAGATAAAGTAGGCCTCAACAGTGCCCAATAGCTGGGAACCATACAATAGTGTTTGTCTGCAGGTCCTCTTCCCTTGTGTCCTCAAAGCATAGGCACTGACTTTTATTTTTGTTGTGGGGGGTTGTGCTAAGATGATGGACATTTAGAAAGTTCTATGCATTTCAGGTGGCAGTCCTCTTTCTAAGGGGGTCAGGGCCCTCAGGACCCCATGTAGTCAGCACCTCTGCCTCAGAGCCTCTGCTTTTCATTTGTTTTTAAGTTCTTTGCTTTAGATTTCCCATCATACTGCATCTGAAGTATATGAATGAACGCCTCCATTGTCAGTTTGCTAGCTACTGGATAAGACTTTTTAACTCTTCATTATCTTTCAGCCGGAAAAACAGTAAACCTAATCCCACAGAAATATACTTAATTCTCATAGAATAAATAGAGAAGTCTACCATATTCTTTATAATAGGATTCTACCACAGTTCTCATCAGTGTGGTACACAGCAGTTAAAAAAAAATCACATTCCAACTCATTACTCCCCTCCAGGACTGTGCTCTCCCTTTTTGCCCAGGGCAACATATTAGGTAGAATATATTTGGGTGCCTGGCAAACCCCTAACTCTTTCTTTCAAGCCACTGCTTTCCAGGATGCAATCCCCATCCTCAAGGTATAGGTTGCATTTTCTGTCCAAGTATTTGGGTGCATTTCAATGCACTTAGTTTGAATATGGCCAATTTACTAGGCAATCCATGTCACTCAGAATGACTGCCTTATTTTTCTCATTATTTGCCACACTATTTATCTTCATATCATCCACACATTTTTCAGCAGTCCTTTCCTTTCAGAGTTACTTCCACTGATAACAGTATGGAATAGCATAAAGCTAAAACCTGTCTCTGCAAAACTCCCATATAAACAACCCCATTTTGTGTTGATTGATGATTCAATGTTTACAACCACTGTTCTAATATTGTCAGTCAGTGCTTAATCCAGAGAATGTGAGCTTTATCATTAGCGCATATTACTGCTTCATCAGAAAGTGGTGCTGTGCTAAGTCAATGCTTCCCAAAGGTCTTTATATTTCAGTTATCTTTACTAACCCAATATATTATGTCAGCCATGAATCAGGCTTACTTGACAAGACCCATTTTTCAAAAAACCATGTTGACTGGTACTAGTTATACTACCATCCTTTAAGTCCTTGTTAAATTATTTTTCTACCAGTTTTTCCATTGTTTTCTCTGGGACTGTGAATACAAATAGGCCACTAATTTTCCCCTCACTTGTCCTTTATGATTACTGCTAAACCATTAGCATACTTCAAATCCTCTGGAATTTCTCCAGTATTCCAAGTTGTATTAAGAATTAACAACAGTGGGAGAGAGTTCTCCTCATGTTTGTATAATGGTAGGTGTGCCCATTTTAAAATAATTATCCTTAGCAGATGCTAGCTATTACCTGAATTCCTAGTTCATTATCCTCATGCAAGCTGAATATATCATTCTGCTCCTTTCCATATATGGAACATAAATATATTTATTGAAAGATTGTGCCCTTTCTGCATCATTAGTTATTGTTCCATCTTCATCTACCAAAGAACCTAACCATTGGAAAGATTTCTTTTGTTCCTAATGTAGCGTTCATGGGCAAAAACCACAACACCGCAGCCTACGTTGGTATAGAGGTGCACTTCCTCAGTATAGTGAGTCACTAAAGTAACGTAGCAGTGAAAAATAACCGTGCACACAGCGCAGTAACAATGGTGCCAAAGGGGCATGTGTAGACATGCCCAATACATTAAAAAATATATTTTTTATTGTCTTTAGCTCTACGAACTATGGCATTTTCCAACATGTATTTAGCATTCCCCATCAAATTTAATCACTCCCTTTGGTTCCTCTCTTAACCAGGATAGATATTAAGCATATCTGTCCTGATTCATAGCTATGGAATCATAGATTTTAACCATTTTGTGAACTCTTCTAAAATATCTCCCAATTTTCATCACATTTTTCTTGGCCAAAAGGCTTACTCAGTCAATTTTGTGCATATGTTTTCTCAGCACTGGGAATTTATCCCTTTCAAAGCACAAACTATATACTTGCACACACATATCTACTTATACTATACACAATGAAACTATATATACATATATATATATCTTTAAAAAGATTACATAAATTATATAAATATATAAATATAGATAATCTTTTTAAAGACCTGCTTTAATCCAGAGTTGATGATCATGGCAGTACCTTCTGGCCTTAGAGCAGGGGCGGGCAAAATATTGCCTGTGGGCTGGACCTGGCCTGCCACATGATTTTATCTGGCTTGCAGATGCTCCTTTGGAGAATTGTATCCAGCCTGTGGTTGCCCTGGCTTTCGGTGCTTCTCGCCCTTTTCCCTTCCCCATGCAAGCTGGCTATAGAAGCAGCAGCAGCAGCCACTCTCTTCCCTGGCAGGACTGTCTTGTCCCACTCCCCAGGCCCCAGGGTACACTTCAAGGCAGGAGGCACTGAGCTCCTGGCCAGGCTTCTGCCTGGTGAGTCTGTCTGTGTGCAGCTCTGACCCTGTGGCCATTTGCAGACCAGACAGCTCGGTCCCCAGCAAGTGGAAGCTCAGGTAAGGTTCTTCCCCGTGGTGAGGGAAGGGGTGCAGGCGAAGAGGGCCAGGAGCTCTAGGTTATCTGGGCTCTGCCAGGCCAAGGTGTGGTAGGGGCATGGGTGTGGTTAACGTGTTGCTGTGCTGTGTTCCCTTGTGCCACTTCAGGCTGAGCCACATGGGCACAGCTGGAGTGGCTGGTGCAGCTACTGCTTGACCCTGAGTCCCCAGCATGTAAGTGGGTTGGGCAGGAGCCATGCCAGGTGCACCCACTTGGCCTGAAGCAGCATGCAGGAACACAGAGTGATACCAGCCTGGCAGTGTATCAGGGACTCAGGGCAGGGAAGTGGGTGCAAGGAGAAGAGGGAACAAAGGTTAGGTTTCTGTAACCTGTTTTCTTTCTGCCTTTAGATCAGGGGTGAGCAATTATTTGGGCTGCAGGGCCACTTAGGGAGTTTTGTTGAGCTGTTGGAAGGGTGACCTGGCCCACAACAGCTCACCAAAACTCTCTTTGTGGCCCTCTGGCCCAAATAACTGTCCACCCCTGCCTTAGAGCCTATGAATAGTGCCAGTTGGATCTGTCCTACATTTATTTATCAAAGAAATGAAGTTAAAATTTTTGCCTAGCTTCAATTTCTCTTTGCTGCTATGGCTGAAGTGCCCCATGGGGAAGGGATCAGTGCTGGGAAGAATCTCTTTACCCTAGTATGTTTTCCCTGTTTTCCACTCTACTGCCCTTGACTAAGTCTGAGAGAATGAACTATTTCTTCTTTGTTGATTATTTCTGTAAAAAGGGCAAAAGCTGTGAATTATATAATGATTAGTGAAGGTCTGCTCTGTTCTGCCAACCTCATACCCAATATGTACCACAAATCAAACTGGAGAGGTCCTAAAAGAACCCAACAGTAAACAGTGCAGGTGTGGTCTGGTTCAGCTCTAGAGTGACCCCCATTCATTACAGATCATTCTCTCTCTGCTCTGAGTTTTCTAAATGCAGTTTTCAAAAAAGATACCCAGGTGGGCTTTGTTGGCTAATTAGAGCCATAACTAAGACCAGAGATGGGATCATTCCAGTGGGAAATTGAGTTTCTACCAACTCTTCCATGTTCAGCACAGACTGAATGTGAGCTGGCTGTTCCCCCACCCCAGAGTGTCCATTGTTTAGGGGCAACCTACTCCCTATTTGTTTTGATAAAGCAATAGTTCCTAACTCTGTTATCAACTACATAAGGCAGTGAGACCCTGCAGTGTGGGAAGAGCAATGCCAGTGGGGTTAACAAGGTAACCTTCCCAAGGTGGAGACATTCCCTTTTCAGTGAATCCATCTTCCTAGATCACACTGCTGCTCTGTTCTTCCAACAAGAAGCAGCATGAGGGTTCCTGACCCTACCACATGGGATTCAGGTGCCTGACAAATCATTCTGTCCATGTAAAATGAGATCAGTTTTTAAGTGGTTGGATTGCCCTCTGGGATGGCACCTGTCAGAGGTGGTACAGGAACATGGGTAGCTGAGGTCACTGTCCCTTTCATTCTGAAGTCTCCAGAGATTATTCAGCTTTCAGATCAACTGAAAAGAAAGAAAGATAGAAACGTTTCAGAAGGACAAAAATTATCAATACTACTCCCCACCACCACCAGTGGTCTGCTGCTAACAGCAGCTGAAGGGTAGCAAACTTTCCACCTTCTCCTTACCTCTGCCAGCCAAGAGGCTCTGTCAGAAGAGAAGCACGAGCACTGGGATGGCCTCCCAGTTACCCTATTTTCAGTTTCTTCTGGCAGGAGACACCACAGGATTGAAACAGGAGCACTAGCTATGGGGCAGCTTCTAGAAATGTCAGCCCTGACCTCTTCACCCAGTAAGGTTTCTATGTCATCTGTGAGGCATTAGAGCCAGCTGGGGGCTTCCAGCTATGCCACTCCCCACAGAAAGCACTGTAGTTAGAGGAGCCTGAGAGTTTACTGTAGAGCAGGGGTGGACAATTATTTAGCCCTGCAGGTCACATAGGGAGTTTTGGTGAGCTGTTGTGGGCTGGGTCAGCATCCTCCCCTCCCCAAAACTCCCTAAGTGGTTGATGCTGTCAGCCTGGCCACATGTCCTGCCCGTGTGGGTCCTAGCCACTGCTCATCGTTTGGGTTTCATGGGCTGGTGCCACTTAGCTGGGGATCTCAGCCCCAGTCCCGCCTGCCTGTCCTGCTCCCAGATGCTGCTCCCTGCCTGTCCACAGCCCCTCCTGGCTGAGTGTGGAGCAGAGCCACAATCTGTTGCCTGTATGCGTCAGCAACAGGCATCACCCCCTGCTTGTCCCTGCTCATGGAACTGGTGCATGTCACAGGGATGTGCAGGCAGCAGATCGTGGGCCTGCTCCATGCTCAGCCAGGATAGGGCTATGAATGGGTGGGGAGCGGCATCTGGGAGTTGGGCAGGTGGGCAGGGCCAGGGCTGTGATCCCCAGTTGAATGGCAGAAGCCCATGAAACCCAAACAGTAAGCACCAGGTTTGTGGCTGATGGGGCCAGGTGCTGGGAGCTAAAGGGCTCCAGAGCCAGTGGAATGCAAGGAGTTCCCACCTTTGCAGTCCCAATGGGGGCTCAGCTCTTTCTGTGGACTCCCAGTGCTACATGAAGCCAAGCATTAGCCCAGTCCAAACAAAGCCGGGAGAGAGACCCAAGCAGGTGCCATTTGCAGCCCCAGGTATGGCTGAAAGGAGCTGGGAATGGCAACAAAGGGCTGAGTGGAAGCAGGAGCTTGGCAGCGGGTCAGGGCTCTGGAGGCAGTGGAGCTGTCACCAAGGTGGGGAGGAGTGGAGGGCCTGGGCCACAAGGAGGGAGAGTGTAGACCAGATAGGACTAAGTGGGATAAGTGCCAGACAGATGCTGCACAGTGGGGGCCAAGCTGGAGATGCCATGAAGTAGGGGCGTTTCGGAGCAGCAGCTCTGGGAATGAAGCCAGCGGTGCTGGGCTCCTGTCCCAAGGCACCCAGCACGGGTCCCTACCCTGCAGCCCATGTCAGGCACAGATGCTCTCTCTGATCGCTGGGGCAGATGGGCAGGAGTGGCCACCTGGGTGCTGGGGCTCTGGGTCAGAAGCCAGCAACTACCTCTGTTCTCTTGGCAGGCATGTCTAGTGCTGTCCAGCGTCCTGGCCCAGGCCACCCCCTGTGCCTGTGCTGGGCAGGACCAAGGGACCCGCCACGGGGAAGACAAAAATCCCTCTGCAGGCCTCATCTGGCCCGCAGGCCATATTTTACCCACCCCTGCTCTAGAGGATGTTCCAAACTATTCTACCTCCTGCCTCTCCCAGCCAGAAGCAAGAGGGTTGGGAATAAGAAGAGTACAGGATTTCTTATTGCAGGTATGTGTCTGTACAACATCCTTCTGTCCTGCTTTCATGTATACCCCACTTAACTACTTGTACACACAAGTCCCAAATCCAAAAAATGTATTGGTGAGACTGCTCTGGGATAACTCCCCTGGCTCTTGGGCATATTTAAACAATAAAGATGTTGAGAGTGGTCAGTCATGCAGGGAGGTTCCCCACAGCAGTTTCAGCATACATTTCTAAGCTTGTCCACTGGGAGTAGATTGGTAGGACATTGTCAAAGGCATCCCTGCCCAAGAGGGCTGGGAATGTGGTGCAGAAACACCTGTGGAGCTCTGGCTGGGGAGGAGGCTGTAGCTCTGTAGACTTTTACCTGGCTTTCTCCATCCGTGTGTGAGGCCAAAGAGAGCAACAACAAAGAGGGCAGTAGAGATGATGACTCCCACAACCACTTTGGATGTTTTTTGGTCTGTTGGAGTAAGAAGGAAATGGAGACTCAGCAGACCCTGTGTTTCATGGAGCTAAAACCCTCAAAAGTGCCCCAGGATGGGGTTTTGGTCTAATTGGAGGAAAGAATGTGAAATAATCCTGGGAGAAGATTAGTTCCCCTCATATAGAAGTGAGATGCTCTGGGACAGCATCAAGTTCAACCAGGGAAAGTAGCCTGTGCCAGAAAAGAGGAGTTCTCAGGCAGAGTTGGTAGCACACTGGGTAGAACAGTGTAGTAGAGAGCTTGAGCAGTGTTTAGTTCCCCAGAGGAAGGAAATGGAAAGTGGGAGGTGGCCAGGTCATATCTGGTTGGGGGTGACAGTGCAGAGAACACCTTAGGCATAGCTGAACTCCCACAACAGGTCTTGAGCAGGTCTAGAGCCAAATACAGCCATCTTTGGTTCCCTTGCTCTAAGGAAGAGGTGATTGACCCTCAGCACACATGACGTGAGTGGTACAGGAAGCTGATGTGTGGCAAGTGAGCCCCAGTCAATTCCTGGTGCCCCAGGGTGCAAAAACTTATCAGGTATGCCTCTGGGGGGCAGGGATCAGAGTGGCATTTGGGGAAGGCCAAGGCTTGTGGTACACCAGCAAAGAAAAAAGAAAAAAAATAAAAAGGTTGGCCACCACTGCTCCAAGGCATCCCTTGATGCTTGTAATCTCCATCCCAAACAGTGCAAAGTGCTTCATAATGTAGGAGATATGACTTGCATGTGGCTTTATAAAGTTAAAACATGAGTGGAGGAAGCAAGCCTGAAAGGTCAGGTAGGAAAAAGGGACTGGAGATGAAAAAGAATGGGGAGAGGAGCAGAGAGAAATGAAGCTATACAAGGATATTATATGTAGAGTGGAGTAATAAGAGCAAGCTGGGACTAAGAGATCATAGGTTTGAAGCAGAGGCTGGGAAGCAGGGGCAGTGAGTGCTGACTCACTTACTTGGTGCTCTGAGATGGGCACTAACTACAACTGGCTCCTCAAGGGCTAGGTGTGAAACATGGCAGCTGAAGGTGACTGGTGCCAGTTCTGTTGCTAAGTTGATGAGCAGGTAGGAACTGATGCTATAGGTGCCAACCTGGCCTTGCCTGTGGCTGGAAAAATATATGCTCGAGCTTGGGATGGGCACCTTGTCTTCATCCTCAGGGGACTCCCGGGTCCAGCTCACTGAGACATCCAGGGGGTAGTAGCCAGAAATCTCACAGGTCAGGGTCGTAGTTCCATCACCCTCCCGTGACACCAGGTCTGGGAACAAGCGGACTCTTGGGGGCTCTGTGGGGGGTGAAAAGAAAGTTAGGCCAGTGAGAAACTGCTTTGGAGGGGATGAGAAAGTACAAAGGAGCCCCTTGCCCTGGCAATAAGGAATGAGGGAGAGGGACTGCAGAATCAAAAAGTGGAGCAGAGATGCTGGGCAGGTCAGGTTAGGTTTCAGCTCATGGGGCCTGTCTCCCTCACTTCCCCCCCTAACTAGACTCCCCATTTCCTTACCGGCCAGCTGCAGCTGGATGATGTGCTGTGTTTGATGCTTGGGGCTGGACACCAAGCAGATATACGTCCCTTCATCCTTCATGCCCACACCATGCAGGCTAAGTGATGCATCGCCAGTCTCCAGCAGCTGCACCATGTCCACATGGGCCGTTGGCTGCTCTTCTTGTGGCTCACTCCCTGTCTGGTACCGGAACACACTGCGCCCACTGCCTTGGTGCTGCAGCCTCCACTCCAGCAAAGCCAGTGGAGAGCCAGGTGCCAAGGCAAACCTGCAGTTCAGGGTGACGGAGCTGCCAAGACGGGTGCGCAGGGTCGGGGTGAGAGATGATGACTGGAATTCAACTAAAAACCCATAGAGGGGGGAAGAAGGATAGAGAGACTGTTACAAACATGTTGCCTTGTGCAGAACAGCAAGGAAAGGGGCCCAATGAACCAGCCCACACAAGAGGATCCATTTTGTGGAGTGGGTGGAGGCACATAAACTGTGCCTTTCCCACAAAAGAAGCTCCCCTTTTTCCCACAGCCTACAGACTATGGGGACTAGGTGTACATGGTTACTCTCCCTACAACATGTTTTTGAATACACATTTGAAGCACAAGGCACTTGCCACAGTCAGGAGTCAGCAGACTGGCACAGTGGTGGGGAGGAGCAGCAGGAGCAGAACTGGATGCCTGAGGGCAGAGCAGGGGAAAGCAGAGTTGTTTGCGGGGGCTCACTGCAGACTCAGGAGTTAAAGCCTGAAGTAAGGAGGGGGCCCCAAGGATCCCCAACATTTTAGTTCTCCTTTCTTGAGGAGACTGTTTAGTTCTGCAACCTGCTTGTGATTTCCCCCTAGCAGCTGTCCACACAGTCCACATTTCTGCTTTTGTTGGGTACCTGCTTATAGAGCACGAATAAGATTCTGGGGTCCCCAGTGCCCCTAATGCCTCTTGCTGCAGCAGGTGCATCCCAACCCCATTTAATTACCTGTTGTTAGCACTGTCCCCTCATTGCTTACAGGGACCTTCAGCTTTGGGTGCAGCACAATCATTCTCTCCTCTTCCTTCCCATCACTCCTGCAGGGGCCCCTCAGCACTAGAGCAATACTGATCCCACTGGACAGCTTCAGGGTCCCCATGAACCAGGAGGACTGGCAGGTCCCCTCATCTGTCTGGTGTCGGCTGTACAGAGAGATCTCACAAGTCACCTCCTCTCCAGAACAGTCTGCATGCAGCAGGGATTCTGCATATGGGATGGCTACCAACTTGGCTGTAACAAGATGGGGAGAAACATTATACAATGAGTGTCTTAGGCCCCTCCCCCATGGTACATATACTACACAATTAACTGGTTAATTGTGCAATAAATTTGGACCCACCACACATGCAAACCAAGACCAGCCACACATGCAAAGTAATTATCACCAGAGATCCAGGTCTTCTGTTTGCAGCTGCTCATGCAGTTAAGTCTATGGGAGGTGGGGGTTGGAGGGCCATAGCTTGAAAAGCATCTGGGAGGCTGTGTGTGTTGAGGGGGGCACCTGCTGGCATTGGGGGAAGGTATCTGGGTGCTGGGGCTGCAGCAGGATAGGGGGACTGAGGCAGTACTCAGTGCCACCAGCAAGTCCAGCTCTGCACTGTTGCCAGTGGAGTCTGCCCGGAGGTATTTGCCCCTCCAGTGAGGGAAGGGAGCGGGTGGGGGCCATCAGGGGTGGCAGGGAGCTGCATGGCAGGGCCAGCAGTGCCAGGGCCGGTGCCCATGCTCTCAGGGCCAGGGGCAGAGGCAGCCAGGAGACACTACCCAGAGGCAGGGATGTGTAGCCAGGCTGCCTGGCGCTGTGCAGGATCTCTAGTCCAGGGCAGGGGGTGCCACAGGCCTCCTCTCCTCCTCCCTCCATCCCATCCCATCCCATCCCAGGGCCAGATTTGCTTCGCTGCTGTCTCGGCTGGCTGGAGCCGACTCGAGGTGATTTACAAATTACTCGGTCGTTTGGGCGGGCTGGTGAATGGAGAGGCAGACACAGCTTATTGGTTGCAAAAACTTTACTTACACCGCCTGTAGCCGCAACGCAGATGGTCCGGTTGTCTGAACAACTATGTCAGTTGCCCCAGCTGGCAAGGCTCAGGCCCGCCAAGGAAAGGGTACGTCGGGGTTTGCGCTCGGCGACGGAGAGAAGAATCGATAGGCGATCAGTCTATCGATCAGCTCAGCCACAAGTCAGATCTCTTTAGAGGCACTCTGCAGCGTGCTCAAAGTTCTCTGACTTGGGCGGAAGTCGCACGAAATTTTAAACGGCTAGCAAGCCAATTACTAGCCGCCACGTAGGAATAACTTAGAACTGGCCAATAGCGGGACACAAATTTGCATCCAAATGGCGGGAACTCTCTTGCACCAAGGTTTTTCTGTTGTAACAAAAACCTTTGCTGTGCAAGAGGCTCTCACGTGGCGGGAAAATTCCATTGTGCCGAGGCACCAAAATCACTGGGTTGTGACAGCTGCCACCCACACGAGTTGGAGCCGCCACAGCCACTGGACACCAGCCTGGGCAGGACAGGACCTTGAGCTCCTCACCGTCCTCCTGCTGCCTGCAGCATGGCTGGCCCAGAGCTGTGCTCTGCTTCACACAGCTGTTGTGGAACATGGCACTGGTCCTCCAAGCTTCACCCCAGCTGGCAGCATGGGGTTGGAAGTGAGGGGCATTAGCAGGGCTGGAGGACTGGAGTGGAAGTGCAAAGCACTGACACGGGCAGAGCACCAGAATATCAGGGTTGCTCAGTCCCAAAGAAGCAACAGGGTGGGGGAGAGGGCTGGGTGTGGGGGGGACAGCTACAATAGGACCTGCATCCTGGTGAGCAAAGGTAGTAGGGGGAGCTCTCATTTTCCATGATAAAAAACCCCAAATCGAATACTAAAGTATATAGGTATTTAGAATTTGTTTATTATAATGAATGAGGCACCAGTAGGCTTCTAAACTGCTTTAAAATTGTAAATATATCAATAAAGCATTGTGGTAAATTGATACCTGTGTATCAATATGTATATATATACACATATATATATTAGTGGCATTTCATTTTAATCATGAAAAAATGCAGATTTGGGGTTCTTTAATCAGAGAATTTGGGGTTTTGAGAGAATTTGCAATTTTTAAACAGAGACAACCAGGATCCCTGTTCACACAATTAACTGGTTAATCGTGCAATAACTTCAGACCAGCCACAGGCAAAGTAATTATCAGGCCATAAAAATGTCCATCTAGCTATAAAAAGAGCCAATCATCAACAAAGTTAGTGCTTGAAAATGTGTAACTACCTTATAGCTGGCTTCTATACAACTTTAATTTGAATATGTGTCAGGGCCCAAAGAGACAGAGGGTCATGCTTTAGAAAACACCACAGACTCAGCAATGCTACCCAGGGCCAGATTGCTGCTGCACAAACATTAGAGAGCTTTAGCTTGCAGTATGGGGCTTTCAGCTTACTTAGGCAGTGGACAGTACTGCAGGGAATGAGATATGCCAAGAGTGGGCTCAGATCGCTACAAAGGGAAATTTCCAACTGCACTTCCTCATGGCAGAGGGTGGAAACACACAACAGGTGTGGCTAGCGCACCTGTGGGTTGTAGTTAAATGGTGACCTCTCCGGGTCCAAACAGAAGAAACATTTACTATGGAGTTACGCCTTCATTTGGCAGTAATTTACTCCACAGCACGCTTTACTGCAAAGATGACTAATTAGCTTTGCAGTAAAGTGTCATAGTCTACAAGGGTGCCGGTATTATGGCACAGTACATTAATTAACTCTTCTGTAGGATAGTACTAGGATGGTACGGACAGTATTATCCTACAACAGAGTAGTTACATATACTGCAATGCACATGTAGACTGTGACAAGGGCTGGCTGAGGCATGACAATGCTATAGTTCAAGGGCTGCCTGCCACCTAGTCCTGTACTGTAGTACCCTCTGCCTCAGCCAGCCCCTCCACAGCATGTTGAGCCGGCACAGCAGGAGTTTATTGCTACGTACTAATTGCACGTGTTGATGCACCCAGTAAGAAGCACCTCTCCCAAGCTGGCTGCCCTCAGTAGGGTACTACACCAGTGTCTGACCACTAGGTGACAGGCAAGCCAGTTAGCATGGTGCAAAATGGCTACTTTGAAATGAAATTAAAAGTGATAGAGGGTGCATGTCATATATACATGTTAGAATCACTTTCTTCAGAGCCAATTTACTTCCGACTCCCCCAGAAGTAACTTTATATTGGATAACAGCATTTCCGGTGGACTAAATGCTGTGTCACATGTCCACTCCACTTCTCCCCCAGAGTAAACTGAGAGTACTTTGGAATAAACAGAACATGCATCTACACCCTCAGTCCATCAAACGCCCAGTAAGCCTGAGGGCTAGGGCCCTTGCTTTGAGTCTGTGGGGTATTACCATGGCTGACATAGCAACAAATCTATTCCCAGCTCCCTCACTCACCCGAAGCCTCAAAGATGAGGGGGGGTGCGGAGCCAGTGCTTGCCCCTGGCGCTTCATAATTGGTGACATCGTCCAAGCTCCCATCATCGATGACACTGACATCTCTCAGCACCAGAGTGGCACTGTCCTGGGAAAATGAGCTAGCAAATGAACCTGGCAAATCTCCTGCAGTTTCCTCTATGTAGAGGCAGTCCAGAACCACGTCCACAGAGCGTAATGAGGATCTGGGGCCTAGATCTTCTGTCCACCCTGTAGCGATGGAAATGAACCAGCTGAGATATATGGCACATGCACTCCCAAACACATATGCACCCCTGCAGAGAAGGGGAGGATCCAAGGGATTCCTGCAGCAGGCTGCCCCTTCCCCGGAAGTAGCTCTGACTCAGCAGGACCTCCTCAGCCTCTCTGCCACCTCTTGCTACTGGAAAACCTAGTCTCTCAGCAGCATAAGCTCAGGGCCCCTCCATGTAAGAGAGAGGTAATTTGTTTCTCTGGCCTGTTGCAGGGTGTTTCAGGTTCCTTCTCTTGATGCCTGATCTTAAAACAGACACCTGAAGAGACTGTCCTGGGGATCCAGCGAGCTCACCCCGTTGCACGCCCCCCACCCCCTTTAACTCACCCGTCTTCAGAGCCAGCAGTCCACAGAAAAGGACAAGGCCCAGGCTCATTGTGCTCCACACAAAAGACTTCCAGACAGCCAGGGACCCCAGGGCTTGTCCGGAAATCACGCTGCTCTGAGTCTGCAGAGTCAACTTCTAATTTTACTTTCACTTTGCCTCGCACACTCGAGAGCATTAACTCTGTCCTTTCAGGGCAGTACAGCCTGACAGGCTCAAACAGGGAAAGGAGAAATTGAATAGGCAGCAGCCTGGGATTGAGGAGCATCAACAGGGCTGGGGGTGGATGGCTCTCACTTTCCAAATTGAAATGTACATCTGGATTTAGATAGGGAAGGCCAATAAATCCAGCCACCTTGCACCAGGCTGAACACTGCTGCACCTTGTTCTCCATCTTCTTCAGATCTATAAAGAGAAAATGGCATCTTCATGAGGGGGGAGTACAGTCCTGCTAGGATCCCAGATGTGATTGCCACCCCCTCTGCAGAGGGCATAGCTACAGGCTTTGTTATTTAGGAAACCTTGCCTTCTTTCTGTGGTGGGAGAAATCTCCCTAAGGTTCGTTGTCTAGCTGTAATTTGATTGATAGGCAACGCGGGTAAAGAAAGACAGCTGTTTATTTGCTCGAGCAAAGACCATAAAGCCAGCAAAAGGCAAAATGGCCCCCCCCCTAAGGGTGAGGTGATCTTTTATATTTATTACAACAAGGCAAGACTTCATGGTTAACAAAAAAAAGCAATACTTGGGCGGTGCTTTTTAAATCTTTGTAACAGCATATTTCTATTAAGCTGAACTAGCACTTTTTAAAAAGCTAAAAGTTAAGTAACAGTAACATTATAATATGTTAGCAAAACCTTACACAGTAGTAGATACTTTTCAAGGACACAACCAGTGCACCCAGAACAATGGTTTCCCTGTCTTATCTTACTTCTTGCTGTAGCTGATTTTTCAGCACACAGACACAGAGATACTTGCTGCTTTTAACTCAGAAAATGCTTAATACAGTTAAAATGATTATTTGACACAAGCAAAGGCTTAGCTATCAATCTGCCTTGTGGTCAGCTGCATTGCTAGGCCACAGGTCATGCCTTGTATTCAGCTGTAAAGCTAATACTTCCTAATAATCTAAATTATTGTAAACCTAACAGTATGCTTATCAGAAAACTATTCTATTTCAGGGTAATAACAAACCTGCGCACTACATTTCTGCTTTCTCGGTGTGAGAGAGGGAAGGCAGTGTTTTGTTTTGTTCTGTTTTGTTTGGGGAAGTTTATTTTCTCTTTTTTCATATAAAGGGATTTTGCCTGTTACAGGGCCTCCTTTTCAGGGATGACAGGAGCGGGGAAGGGGATATGGTTAAGAGGCATCTATAAGATGGCTTTCCATATACAGGAAAGTGCTGTTGCCACACAGCAGCAGTGTACATAAGGATGGCCGTGGTATGCTTATGGCTTATGCTCAATTCACTTGCCTCCCCAGCAACAACCTTGCAAACAATTTACAAGGCTTCAGGCTAAACCCTGTGACCTTCTTCCAGCCAAGGTAGCAGCCACCTCACTAAGCCGGTTCCCCCAAAACCAGAACTCTCAGGTCCTCCATTCTGGGACCTTGTGAGTTAGTGCCACCTTATTTCATGTCATGGGACAGTGTGGTACATGTCCATAACTTCCCAGGATATGTGTATATCTGTTGGCCTTGTTGCTTTCCTAGGTTAGATACCCTATCTGCCTCGAATGCTGTGAGAACTGTGTGTGAGACACAGGCAGAACAGTCCTGAAATATAAACATCAAGTCCCAGTCCCAGTCCTGGGCTGAATGACTCTAGGACAACATTTGTCCCAGATTCCCCTCAACACACTCAACTATCATCCCAGTATCATGTGCAGGGATCCAGGTTTTCAGATCGCTGTGGAAAAATACGGATTTTCTTCTTTTGAAGCAGTAAACTGCAGGAAACAGTGGGTTTCCCCTTGCAGGCTGGCAGAGTTCCAGTCTCAAGGGGCTGCTTGGGGCTGGGGAGAACGGAGTGCAGGGGGTGCCCTGTGCATGTACACACGTGCACACGTGCACGTGTCCGGGAATAAAGTTAGGCAATGGTGAAGATCAGCTCCCCCAGCTGCCTGCAGGTCAGTCTAAGCGAGGAACAAGTGTGGGGCAGCAGATGGAGGCCCCTACAGTGAAGGAAGGAGTGCAGAAGGGTTGGTGGCTGGTGCTAGGGCTTGGGGAGCTGCCCATCTGGGGCGCTGCATGGGACCTGGAGCTGGGGTGGAAATGCATGGCTGTGTGGCCCAGCTTGGGGAGCAGGACAGAGATGGGCAGCTCTTCCAGGGGGTGATGGGGGGCAGGGGGGGTGGGTTGGCTCCCTGCTGGTGCATGCACTTCTGGGGAGGGAAGAATGAGGGAGAGGTGCTCCCTCTAGATTTGTGCATGGAGTAGGGGTTGAATCAGGGTGACTACCTTTTCAAAATGCAAAGACAGGATACATCCCCGCCACACCCCTCCCCTGATGGCATGGCCAGAGCAGAGCCAAGTAGAACCCATGGGGTGCAGGGGCAAATGCAGGCTGCTCACTGTGGGAGTTGGGGCTTCCTGCCATGCTGCCTTCCCACCGGAGGCCTCTGTTGGCCAGCAAGTGAGACCCGATATAGGGCAGAGAGGCTTGGTGCTGCTGCTGCTGCTGGGAGCCCCGTGCCATACCAATATTGTGAAGTCCCTCCTGCCCACCCAGAAACAGTGGTGGCAGTGATGGCAGCATGGAATTGTGTCCCCCACTGCTGCTGGGTGGGAAGGAGCATGGCTGGTACAGGGCTCCTGGCAGCAGCAGCAGCACCAAGCTTCCCCACCCACTCTGCCTTCCAATGCTGGGTCCCACCCACTGCACAGTGGAGGTATTGGAGGGAGGGCAGCAGGGTGGGGAGCCCCAAACCCACAGTAGGAAGCCTGCATCTTCCCCCACTCTGCACACAAAATGGGGGGGGGAGGGGAGGGAATGTGCCCCCACCCCACCTTACCTTCCAGTGGCTCCATCCCACTCCCCCAGCCAGGGTAGAGAGTGGGATACTGGGGGCACCACATGCATGTATATGTGGCTGGGAATACAGCCAGGCAGTGGTGGAGAGCAGCTCCCCCAGTAGCGCCCCCCAGCTCCAGTTCCAGCCACCAATCCTGTCCCACTCCCACCCTCACCGTGGGGGCCTCAATTTGCTCCCCACACCTCCCTCCATAGATTTATCTGCAGGCAGCTGGGGGAGTTGATCTCCACCACTGCCCAGCTGTATTCCTGGCCACATGCATGTGTGTGCCTGCACATATGCATGTGGCATCCTCTGTGTCCTGCTCCCCCAGCCCCAAGCAGCCCCTTGCAGACTGGAACTCTTCCAGCCTGGAGGGGAGAACCTACTGTTTCTCACATTTTTCTCTTTCAAAAGGAGAAAATCTGCATTTTTTCATGGTGAACTGAAAGTCCAGATCCCTGCACATGATACTGGGATGATAATTGAGAATGCTGAGGAGAATCTGGGACAAATGCTGTCCTGGAGCCATTGAGCCCAGGACTGGGGCTTGATGTTTATATTTCAGGACTATTCCACCCAATTAGGGGCAGGTGTTCAACTTAGGGCAGGTACGGGCTGACTGCTGCGGGCTTGGGGCTCCCTGCCCTGCTGCCCTCCCCCTGGGCAGCCCAGTGGGTGGGACCCAGCAGGGGAGGGCGAAGTGGGTCAGGGAGGCTCTGTGCTGCCACCTCCACTGGTTCCCCTAACCCTTGTTCTCTCTGTCCTTAGATCAGGCGTGGGCAATATTTTGGGCTGGAGGCCATTTAGGGAGTTTTGGTGAACTGTTGCCAGGGTGGGGGAAGGGAGGAAGAGGGGGTAGTGCTGATCTGGGCCATGACAGCTTACCAGAACTCACCAAAACTCTCTAAGCAGCTCTCTGGCCCAAATAATTGTCCACCTCGATCTAGGTGCAGGTCGGGTGGTATCCTGAACCTTGTGGGAGTTGGTGGATTGTATCTGAGAGGGTAAGGATGCCAGGGACTTTATGATATTGTCATGAGAAACCCTAACAAGGTCAGGGGAGTATGAACTGGATGCATTGAAGAAAGCTACATGTGTTTCACCACAGTGAGAACCCCTTGCAGGGAGTTTCGGGAGGGAAGCAAAACCAAGGGATTATACAGACTATATGTGGGTTTTGTATCAATAAACCAGCTCCCCAGAAGGAAAGCAGAAGAACAAGGATTCAGGAGAGTGGTCATGATAGGACTAAACAGGGAAAAAAGTGGCCAGAGAGGTGTTTCCATAGATGGTGATTTCACCTCAGGCATGTTCATTTCCATTTCCAGACCATTATTCCCATGAACTGTTTGGCCTTCGTCCCAGGGGCAACATTATTGTCCTCAGTGATCACAGGGCTTTGTGTATTTTTTGTCTTGTATCTTGATTCGCCTTAATCTCTGGTCCATACTCAACACATTATGGCCCAGCATCATCTTCTCTAATATCTGCCCCAGACTCCCTGCAGAGCAGCTCCAACTTGATGAAATTCCAGGTCTCTTCAAGATTCAAGTCTGTAGCTCCTTGCTAAAGCTGACTCTACTGTTCAATTCCCTCAGCTTTTTGATGTTTGCCCTTTGGAAACCAAGAATTTTAATTGCAGAACCTACCTTTGTTTTAATTTCATTTAAACTAGATGTTGTGCTTACTCCACTCACATCTCTGACCATCTCTTCTCCTTTATGCTCATGTATTTGCCCAACTGTGTCTTCAGTACTCTCACCTCTTGAAGAAATCCATCTGTTATCATGCCCAGAAACAATGGGACAGTACCCTGATTAGTAGCAGTAATTTTTCTCCCATATCTGTCTGGGAAGTAAAGGTCTCCAATAATGACACGTCACCTGGACAAGGGAGGAGGGACTGATGTCATTTACTTGGATTTCAAAAAAGCCTTTGACTTGATCTCCCATGATGTCCTCATAGTAAAATTAGGGAGCTGTGGCCTCAACAATGTTATGGTTTGATTGCTGGAGAACTGGCTCTGTGGTCAGACCCAGAAAGTGATTGTCGATGGAACTAAGTCAACATGACACATGGTGACCAGTGAACTGAACCCCCTTAGGGTTC